CCCCCCCCCCCCCCCCCCCCGCCCGCCCGCCCCCGCCGTCAACCGAAACTCGAAACAGCTCGGCGGCGAAGACAGAGTCGTGGATGTCGACAGGAATAGACGACGACGACAGGGAGGACGAAGAAGCAAAGCTCGAGGAAGGGGCGCCCAGAGGAAACGGTCGCAAGAACCCGGCAATAGTACCAGCAGATGATGACACTGGCATGGTGGCCGTTACCGGCGGCGACGACGGTGCGACTGCCACCGCCGCGGGTGCCGCGGCCGGGGCCGCTCCTGCCCGCGGGTTGGCGCGTGGATTGTCGTCCTTGTCCAGCCACGGCACGGGCGGCAACAGGCGTGATGCGTTGCAGAGGGGGCAGAGGAACAGCACCCGCGGCCGCGGTGGTGGCGGTGGTGGCGGTGGTGGTGGCGGCGGTCAAGACCGCGGGGTGATGGAGGTGTGGAACTTCGAGCGGCTTGCGAGGACGCCCCTGCTGGCGGCCGCGTTCGAGGACTACTCCAAGAGGGCGCTTTGCCACGAGTCGGTGCTCTTTCTGAGCGAGGTTTCTCGGTGAGAAGAAGGCCCGGGGGGGAGAGGTAGATAAGATGACTAGGCGTTGATAAGCCAAGCGGGAAGAAGAGGACCTTTCTTTTTCGTACGAAATTGCCACAGAAGCTTCTCCGGTGGCAGTCAGCCTCACCGAGCACCCTCATACACACAAATAGTGACCGCGCCCACCTCGACGCCTTTCATCCAGTGGTGCGGAGAGACACGCACGACGGTGGCCCTTTATGTCTCTTCCGGCACGGAGGTTAGGTTTGTGCGTTCCAACTGAGTACGGCCCACCTCTTTTGCCTCAATGCCGCTCCTTGTTGAAGCCGAAACTGCGAGAAAATATTCCGAGGGCCCCGAAAATCTCATGCCATCTCCTGAGTGGTTGTCACCCCTAATTGTTGGTAGCATTCGATGATGGAGCCAACGCAAGTACCGCATTGGGTTGCATTAGGTTGCCAACGCAAATACCGCATGGGGTTGCATTGGGCTATAGGCTGGGCTATAGGCTGGGCTGTACCACAAACAAGTCATGGTGGAGGCAAATGGTTGACTCCAACGTACAAGCTTGCTCTCGCCAAAATCGTGTCCCACGCCCTCTTTCCCCCCTATTTCTTGCGTCAGGTATCAGAGCGACGACTACGCTACGTCGGCAAGACCATCTTCGGAGTCATCGTGTCCGACTCAGTTCGGCACGTTCTGCTACATCACGGACACTTTCATCAAGGGCGGCTCGCCGGAGGAAGTGAACATCAGGTGAGCTGCGGTAACGAACGATGAGCACGACTCAAAGCGCAGCGGTCGCTGTTCATGTTCGCCTTCTCCCCCCTCGAACACCGCCATTCCTTCATCTGGTCGGACGTGATGCCCGTGTGACGGCGGAAAATAAATTCAAGCCATCGTAGATGTGGCGTTTTTTTTTTAGAGGGCGCTGTCGGGACTCGACTGGAAGGCTGGGTGCAGATTGGTCCTGCAGTCCATCCGGCGTATTGCTCTGTGATGGGGGGATAAATTGCACGTCTCGTCCTGTTGATTAATCTTCCGCAGCACGGGCATTATACGCCTTCTGCGCCATGGTACCAGAACCTTTTCAATAACGACCCTGGTTCAAATTCAAACCGCGACGCTTTTCACGCACTCGTTTCGTGTGCGCATGATACGAATCGGTTCGTTCGTGTCGGCTCGAACGAAAAATCCTAGAAATGAGGCGTCAGGAAGGATTGTTGCATCTCTGCAGGGCTGTTCCGTTGCTGGTTGTGCTGCCTCCTGCCGTTGTCAATGATGAGCCTTTTGAATTTGTTTGCGTTTCCGTGCTTGTCGTTGCTTTTCGCTCTCGTCCTTCACTCAGCGACGCGGACAAGAAGGCCATACTCGACGTGTACCACAAGGGCGAAGAATCCTTCGGGGGCGTCAACGAGGAGGACAGAAGGTGAGCAGAGGACATGAGAAAACGGTCGTTGCTAACCACGTATTTACCTGTACACGACCGTTCGCGCCCGCCCTGGTAAGGGTTGGTGGTAGCCCGCTTTCGTGGGTGTGTATTCGTGCTAAAAGGAGGCGTGTTGCGTTGTTGATTCCCTCCGCCAAATTGACTTTTGTAGCGACATGTCCCCTGCACTTGCTATTCTCCTGCACGGCGAGGGAAAATCGCTCCCAACGATTGCGACGAATCCCGTGAGCTGTGCGCACGAGAGGTGTCGTTTTTGGATGCGGACCCCACAGCAGTTGGTGGTGCCGTCAGCCGGCCCATGCGTGCAAATCAACGTCTGATTTTACCTCGAAGTAGGCAAGGAGAGAAGAAACGAATCCCCCGCCCTCCCCCCGTGTTCAGCTCCTTTCGGCGCGAAACGCGTCGTGATGTGCAAAGAGCGCTAGGTAGGGTGTTCACGGTGTCTCTTCACAGGGGTGGGAATGGCGCTTCTCCGTTCCGGGTGGGCAGCGTTGAGTCGGTCAACTCAGGCGGGCGAATGACTTCTGAGTATCGCACCCCCGCGACTTGCACTTCCCGTCAACGCACAATCTTGGCTTTCAGGATGATTTTTTCACCAGCGTACCTGGAGGTGAAGAGCATGCTGGAAGCCAACCTACTCCGCCGCTTCCTCAACACGGACCGCTTCAAGAGTGTGAGGATGCAGAGGGAGAACGTCCAGGCCATGATGGACTCCCCGCCCATGCTGCCGGCGGGGGTAGGAGCTGTTTAGGCGTTCGGACACATAGGTACCTAGGCACGGATATTTATTCAGGAGCAGGAGCCAGGTTCTTGCAGATACGATAGATGTATCTTACGATTTCACACACTCGTTTCCTCCCTTCATGAGGTTTGCCGCGGGTATGTATCGGTACGGTAGCTCTGAAGTGCAACATTCAATCGCGAGATGGTATTGCGCGGGGTGGCTCATGGCATTGAACGTGATGCTGGACTCTACAGAGAGGCCTTGATCCCCTCCCCCCCCGTGAGACTGTCGACGGGAGTAGCACCTGCCGAATTTGTTTTGATGGGAGCTTGAGGAGGCAGGGGGTGGCGAGTGAGGTTGTCCATCTTGTGCTTGGAAGCGTTGCTGGTCGACCTCGACACCAGTTTAAGTTTCCCTGGACCCCCTTCAAGCGCCCGGAGAATCACATCACAAATGAAACACGCACAAGTGTGGGGCGGGGTAATGAGGGGATCACTGTTTCAAGATGAGTTGAGTCCTCCCCCTTACTCGCGAAGAGAGATCCCAAGAGAGAGAGAGAGAGAGAGAGAGAGAGAGAGAGAGAGAGAGAAGGAGAGAACGCGGAGAGAGAGGCACACGCACGGGGAAGTACAGCATCTTGAAGCTGGACTGGAAGGGAGGGCCAGGCGGACTACTTGTGTGGTGCACCCACCAGGCATCTGGACGGGTGTTGTTGTTTGAAACGAGTTATGGTTTGTTCGAAGTTCTTCCCAGCTCTCCGTGGGGTATTGCTCTCAGTCTGAGGTGAATGTACCGAAACTCGAAACGCTCTTCACGGTGAGACACTGCCGTGGCCGGCGGGAGCAGAGAGGCCTGTAGTGTGTGTTTTTCATCGAGGCTGCAGTGTGTGGTGTGTCCTGCCGGTGACGGCAACCTTCGACGCTGGGGTGTTTGCTCGCAGCGACTTGTCGCCACCATTTCGCTTTCTGCGGGGTGCAAACAGCAAGTTAAACTGATTTAGAGTTAACGGTTTTGGAGACAAGAGGAAACGAGTGTGCAGGGAACGGCACGGGCCGGGAGGGGGGGGAGTTATATTGTTTTCAACAGTTGTGGTTTTATCGGGAAGGTATGTGTGCCACATGTGCTTTTTGGGCTCGGCGGTGATCAGTTTTGCTAGAGGGAGGCATTGGGGGGCGGGGGGTGATCAACTGCAGCAAGAAAAGCAAGTCTTGCAGCCAAGTAGGCAAATAGCCTTGCCGCGAAAACTACATTCCACGTGTGAGGGCTTGTAGCCTTATGTATTGATGTCCTTCATTTTTGCCAAGAGGGGAGAGTTGCTCGTGTTGATGGTATGGGAGGTCAACCGCACACCCTTGTTTAAGCCAACATCTGTAGACCCCTTGCTCTTGCGCTTGTGTAATCTGGTGTATGCAGAGCGCGGGCGCGGAGGACAAGGGGGTCAGATATGGATCATTGAGCACCTCCGGTGACGGTTGTGTAGTGGGATAAAGTGACGCGCGTGTTCGTTGCATCCCGTTGTTTCCTTGGGACTCTACTACACGCGCGCACCACGTGCTGTGCTCATCTCTTTGTGTATGTGTGTAAAGTTGTAGCACTAGTGTCGCCGACTTGTGTCTGAATTCACGGAACGACTGAAAAATTCAAGGTTTGGTTACTCGTACGGGTTAGGAGAAGGCGGACGAAGAGGGACCAGTGTTTTTATTGCGTTAAAGTCTGCTTATTGTCCTCAACATTTCAAGTCCGTTCGTTTATTGGGTCGCCAGGTAGCCCTTCGCAAACGCTGCAAACGCGAATGTATGTCAAGGTATTTAAAATACCTCTTACTCTGTCGAGAGTTTGTTGTCCCTTTTCCCTCCGCTAGAGCTGGTCCGTTCCCTCTTATTCCATAGGCACCTCCATGAGGCAGCGTGCCTGTTACACCCATCGGTGTGCGCAGAGTTTTGTCGCGGTTGCGTAGACTATTTCAGTCGTAGGAAGACCAACAATGATCGTTGGTGGTGTGTTCACAAGGTAGACTTCGAAGTCATGATTACGGCTGTATCACTGTGACCCCCCACGGCTAGTTTCTTGCATCGGCGTGTGCACGGCAGAGATAGATGTGCATGGCAGAGAGACACACTGCCTGTTACCATGGGATGATGCATTATACATGTGGCTAGAGACACTCCGTCGATATCGGTACTGTATCATCGGGGCGCAGCCCTCCTTGTAGTAGAGTGCTGTCGGTTGTGTTTGGCATATATGCCTGGCTGCGTTCGTCGTCGTCGGTTTATGGCGTCGAACAGAGACTCTCGACGGATGTGTGCGCGTGTTGCAGTGTCGATTGTCATCGTTGGTGTCATGGGTATCGATTTTCGGACGGTTTTTCTTGCTGTGCTTCGTTTGTTACCATCGAAGGCGTAACGCGAGGAGGGGAAGGAGGGTGTGAGGGTTGGAGTGAGACAGCTCCGGTCCCGGAACGGCCAGAGCCTTGGTGTTGGGTCTTCACGTTGACGAGGCCAAAGAGAGCCCCTGAGAGAAAAGAGAAAAACTTCGACAGGACTACTGTATCCATTGGTTGTGGGTAATGACTCGTAGGGAGTGACCAGAGGTGGAGGGTTCACTTTCAGGTACTGCTCGTCACCACACAAATCGGCGACAACAACCTTCCTTTGCACCAGCGAAGGAGTGTGTGTTGGCGATATTTATCTTCAGCATCGACCGCGCTAACCGGATGGCCAATGAAAAAAGGCGGTAGAGACACGATCTGGCACCCGTGAGCGGGGTCACGGGAGAGGCTAGGTAGGGTATCCTCCGGATTGAAGACGAGGACTCCTCATGATGAGACTTGAGCATCAAGGCTTGGTATATTTGTACAGCACAACAACAAGCACAAACAAGCAAACAACCCTCCTTCCGACTCTTGAAAATATGGCCAAAAAGTACTGGCGAAAAATATTGTAGTAGCTCCTCTGCCCTTCGTATATGTAAAGTAAGTTAGAGGGGTGGTCCACTTATAAGTAGACCAAAGCTAGTCAGCGCTGGCTTGCTTTGGTCCAAGGAATAGCCCCCTTCTATCCGAACTCCCCGAAGAGCCGTTTATTTGTTCGCAAACAAAGTAACGGCTTTTCGGGGTTCGTTCGTGTTCCAGACCACCTCTGTCCTCTCAGCCACAGGCAGGCGCTAAAAAAGTGCTTGGCTGTATCATTGGCTGTATGTATGTAGTGTTAGATAAAGTAGACTGTAGCCTGAACTCAATCAATCATTGACACCTTATCTTTGCTCAAAAATGCACGTTCGAAGTAGTTGTGGTTACTTCTTACGAGGCTCGTGAGGAGTAACCGAGCGGGGTCGGCACCAGAAAACAACAGTCTTTTAGTATGTGCCACACAACAAACGAGGATTCGGATGTGTTGTTGTTGTTGTTGTTGTCTTCACATTAAAAACCGTTCCGATGATGTGTATGTATGTATGTGTGATGCATATCGGGCTCACACAACTAACAGTAGGTAGGTCTCAGCAGTTACATGCAAATAACCTCGCAACTCGCAAGCTTCTGACATTTTACTGGTGACCGAATTTCGGTGCCGTCACACGAACTGGATTTGTTCCCACAACGAGGTCGGATTACCAATCGTGCGAAAGGATCTTTAGGGGGTTCGGGGGTCGGGTTTCCGGAAGGTTCGGAAAGCATGCCGTGCTTTTTGGGCGCGCGCGCACGCGGTTCTTGACGGTTTGGAGGTGGTACTCGGCTAGCTCAGCTCTGCTAGCTTGCACACTGAAGCCCGAGCTGTGCAGGCTTGCAGAGCCCGCCTGCTCGTATGTTCTGTGGAGTATGTTCCTGCGCGCACAGGGGACTCATGGTGTGTAGGGGAGGAGAAGAATGCTGCTAGAAAAACATGTCAGGACCGCCGAAAGCAAACAATTAGTCTACAATCAATGTAGACTGTTGTCGGGGGCACCAATTTGTATGTGCGCGCTACCGGGCTGCCGGCTGTTCGGTAGGGCGTGTACTGCTGCTGTACGAAGAGCGAGTGGAATATCTAGCTGAGTCTAGCTGAGTCTAGGTGCTGTAGGTCTAGGCCGGAACCGCTTTCTGTGCTGTACACGAAAGAAACAACCGACTGCCCCGCAACGCTAGATAGAGGTAGGCGCATCAGCATCCAGATCTGCCGCTGCCATCTGCTTCCAGATTGATAGCTTGCCAACGTCCAACCAGGCACAACACTGCACAACAACCCATACGACGTCTGAAGAAGCATGTTTCCCCCAATCCCCCACAGCCACCCTATAAGGCGTCGAAGTCCTACCCATTTCCGGCTCAAGCTAGACCTAAACAAGGTATGACACAAGATATCACACCCCCTCGACCGATTTTCCAAGCTCCATTCTTTCACAGCAGAAGCGCGGCAGCGCCGGAAACGGCGGCGTTGAAGCCGCTCTGTCAAGAGCCGTCTGAAACAGTCGTTTCATGCACGCATTCTCTTCGTGGAGTAATTGATGTTTGAAAATCGGGGGTATGGTATCTATAGTGTCACCTACGGTACGGTCCAAGTGGGTAGGCTGCTGTATTTACAGGCACACATCGCAGATGATCTGCTCCCATGTAGGTTGCAAATGGCAGATACTAGATTCAACACCTTCCCATGTCGAACTATCGAGAAAACCCCAAAGTTTTTGCGCAGGGTATATTGGGGAGATATTATACGAGTGTATTATACACCAGGTTTGAGCGAGTCGTCGCCACGTTGTTTTAAGCATACTTACTTGTAGACTTACTTCATGTAGGTTGAAGGGGGAGTTGGTTGAAGGGGGAGTTGCAGGAGGGGAGAGAGGAGCCGACATAGTCTCGCCGATAGCCTGCTTGTTAAGCTTTGGTTTAGAAGGGGTGAACGCGGAAAAAAAACAACATAGCTTTAATATATACCGGAATAGTCGGAGAGATAGGACCGGTCTGAGAGGTGGCACCGGTCGGGGAGATGGCACGGGGTTGCTAAAAAAATACGAGAACGGCCCGATTTACATCCATTTACGCACCGGGGTCAGTGAGATTGCACACCGACCGCCAAACCCAAGATTGAGCTCATTTTCAGCTGCCGGAGTGAGGTACATGTGTGTTCCTTATACATATGGGGATGGTGTCAGCGGAGCGCCACCCCTGCATGTACGTATGCATGGTCGCGGTTCACACGGGATGCCAGTTGATTTCATATTTGAATTGGTATGGAAGTTGCCAACCGTATACTCTCAACCAGACACACAACGTACAAGCCACATCCTACCCCACCTTTCACAACACGAAGCTATTGTTGCTTCGTACGTACTGGTATCCGTAGAGGAACACCGAAACGAAAGCGGAAGACAACTGATGCCGTATGTACCAGTACCTCAGATGGAAACGACACCCTTTCTTGTCGTCACTCTATAGCCAAACTCGCATCAAACACGACACCACTCGCTGTATGGAAAGCTGTTACGTACCAGCCTACGTTGCCGTTACCGGTATGCTCCCAATCATACAACACCTGTGTGTATTTCATCGGAGATCGCACCGGTCGGAGAGATCGCACCGGGCTGCCTTGGAAATGTAATCAAAAAGATCTAATTGCATTCCCGCACCGGGGTCGGAGACATGGCACCGGGGCGCGATAAAAACTCAAGGAAGAACATTTAAAAAAAACGATCGCACCCGGTGCCATCTCTCCGACCATTACGGTATCTCGAAACGGCATGTACGTACCACAAGTCCAGGACGAAATGGTATTGAATGCCAAAACGCAACCTAAAAATTATTGCCAAGTGGGCAAGTGGGCAAGTGGGCAAGTGGGCACCAGACAACTTTCTTGGACAGAACACAAAATAATTTCTACCCTCATCCGGATGGAACGCAATGAGCCGAACCCAATGGTAGGTAGGTCTGCCTTGTTTTCGATATAGGATCAAAAACGGTTCTTCGACAATTCGTTACTTTCACATTTGGGAACAGGTCTGGTTGTCCTTGGATACGCATCTTTCAAGCCAAGGCTCGAAGGCAAAAGATACATCGCGCTCTTGGAAACACAAAAAACAGCGAGCAGTCGATAGTACTGGAAGTGCTGTGAAAGGCTGACAAACGGAACGTCGGTGGGCTCGGAAATAGTTCTTGAAGCAACCCTATCGTGTAGCGAAACCAATGAATTCCCCTCAAGAAAAACCAAACGTATCTATCCCCCAAAACGCGGAGCTGTATATTCCTACCACCAGCCTCGACACACCATCAACCGAAAGACTACAAAAAAAAATGAACTCTACCCACCACTGCGAACCGGGCGAAATGACGTAATGGCGCAAGCGGTTCAGCTCAAGCGGACACCGTACCACAAAGCATCCGAGACATTGTACAACAACATCCGAGCCCCCCCAAAAGTATGGCTATGGCTTAACAAAGGTCAGCCGGAGCCGGCCGAACTGGTCGAATGATCGTATTAGAGACTTCTGGCAGAAGCATCTGCCGCAGAACCAAACCTGAGCCTGGCAAATCTCTACTCGTTCCGAGCCATGGCCTCGAACACGCTTGACCATGTTTGCCACCGATTTGCGGTTTATTGCCTCATTCTCGGTCTCGTTGATCAGAGTTACCATGAACGTAAAGCGGTCAAATTTCATGACATTCAACATGTGCAGAAACTTTTTCTTCTTCGCATGGTTCTGCTCGTGCGCGTTGAGGTTGACCCCCGAGAGCTGGGCGCATGAGTCTATCCCACCGTACTTTTGGCGGCAGTCATCCCCGTGGTTGCAGTCGTGCAGGGCGTTAGGCCCGTAGTAAGG